CCCAGAGCGATGTCGGGTTACATAACGATGAGCGCCAAGAACAGAAAAGCATGCTTGTTCGAGGAAGAGACATGCTGGCGAGGAAGAAGACTATCAGCCCTGCTCATCTGCTTCTTCCGAATGTTCTTGTGTTGATGATAGGGGAATGAATGGACGAGTATGGCAAGAAAATCACTGATAAGATGAAACATCGCGGGAGGAGATAAAGAGCATAAGTAGAAGGAGAAATGAATGCGTTGCATATTGCCAACCATGATGGGGGAAATGAATTCACCTTGCAACGGGGTATCAGACGCGATCATGCATGCTTGAACAAGATGGACAGCAGTCTTTGGATGAACTGTGATGCAATCAATGGAGAGGTAAATCAGGATATCCCGGATGTACGAGGAAATACGGAGGTATGAAGTAGTGTGTGTGTTGAAACAAAGAAATGCAGTTCACAAGCGATCTTTGATCAGTAAAATACCGGTGTTCAAGTCCATTGTCGGAATCTAAAGGGTTGCTCGTGTGTGTTTGCAAGAAACGTTTGCAGTCATGTTTCAGAAGTGAGTTTCATGCTCCTTGTCGGTCTTAACTCGATCGAGTTATGTTGTGAGAACCGTCGAGAGCAGGGCGGAAGTGAACAATAGTTGCATCTTCAGGCACAAAAGATTCTTCTTCTGCAGAAATGAGATTCGAAGAGAATGCAGTCAGGACAAGCTTCAGGTATGGAATGGGAGAAGACTGTGGAGGAAAATGGAAGAGAAGAAGTGAGAGAGGGTAGGAGAGGAGTAGGGGAGGACGTGGGAAGAAGGGAGAGAAGGAGATGATGGAGGCAAGGAAAGATGGGAAGGAAAAGACTGAGACAAAACAAGATGGAAGGAAAGAGAACAGGTGCAACGATGAGATCACAGGAAGTGAGAGAGGAAGCAGAGATGTGATGAGTTCGAAACGAGTCGTCAGCACCTGACTCGATCTCCCTGTCCTCGCTCGACTCGAAGCTCATCTCGTCCCCCGACTCAACGATCTTGTAGCGCACAAGGATATCGTGCCGACACTTGTCCCCTGCCATCTGGTTGATGTAGCGGACGTGACTGCTGGCTTGTGATGCCTCCTGCTCGGTCTGTGTGAGGACAGAGGACGAGGACAGAGGATGAGGATCGACAGCAGAAGTGAAGGCAAGAGGATATGAAAGATGAGGAAAGACGTGCAGTGACAGCAGGAGGAAGGTTGGGAACTAGATGGAGAAGTAAGATATTGAGGAGGAGCAGGAGGAGCAGGAGGAGCAGGAGGAGCAGGAGGAGCAGGAGAAAGAGACGGAGGAGGAGGAGATGAAGGAGAGGAGGAGATGGAAGAGAAGGAGGAGACTGCACGATCACCTCCATCATCACGACTGAGAGAGTATTTCCATGTGGCGGGATGCTGCAAACTTCAATCTCTGATTCAAAGATGTTTGTCTCTTCCACGTCTTTGGTCGTGTAGATTAAATCTCCACCATGTCCTTGTAGCCAACCCTGAAAAGATGATAAGCGGGAGAGAAGAACAGAAAGAACTGAATGAAGTCGAGCGGTGAAACAAGTGTTAAAGAGGATGGAGAAGCCAGGAGCAACATGTTTTGAAGGTTTTCGATACTAGCAAATGAGAATTCTGTCTTGTGTAATGTTTCACCTTGTAATCATAGCCTCCTTGAGTTGAACTTGTTCTGCCTCGATCAGCCGATACGAATACAACTTCCAATACACCGACAGCATTGCCTGACAATCGTGAACAGAATCGACAAACACAGAGAAATTTCAAAGTTTCTTACTGTCATCGGACGGATGGTTCATCGCATAACAACCCTGACCGAATCGTCTCACATTCAACACGTCTGAATAAAAATTCTGGGATGAGAGAGGAAGATATCGGATCGCATTCAATTGTAGTATATGTACCAAATTTCTTCTCCAGTCGAGTTCCTGTGATGTTCTTAAGGAAAAGTGAGGTTTAAAAGATGGAAACATGCCAAAGAAAATTGTTTCACTTGCAGAAATTGACGGAAATCTTGAGAAGCAAACGTTCGAATGAGAGCACGGATCTCAATATCCTGACCATTCTTTCCATCCGATGATCCAATAACCTGTATTTTCAGTATCATTTTCATCTTATTCATCGCATAGCAGATAATGGGAACGATTACATACAAGACAACGGGGGCTGGAGAGAAATCGAAAGAGCAGAAGTAGAAGAGAACAAGCACAGAGACAGTCAAGCAAGACGTCAGTTTTACCTCTTTCGACATCAACATTCCTTGCAATTCTTCGTTGTCTATCTGATGATGATTCTTCTTATTCCTCGGACCTGCTTTTCTCCAAGGTAGAAGCTCCCATCCCTTGTGGAAACTTTACAGGTATTTTCTCATACTTTCTTGTTCACCTTCCATATTTCGTCATACAGTGAAGTTGTCAGGAAGTCATGCAACTGAACAGCAGAATCTCTCGCAAAACTGTTCAATGATCAGATGTAATCAGAACATCTCGTTTCTTCTCACAATTTCTTGATATTCGTCTGACTGTTTGCAGCCAAGTATGAGGGATGAACAAACTTTTCAAGTTCTTTTGAACAATCCTGAACAGTGTCGACCTGACATGACATGTCTTGGTGCGAATGCCCGGATACATTTCTTATCTCATCTCTGATGGATCTCAAACGATCTTCCTTGGCAGAATGTCTTATCACTGCATGCGCAACAAGAATTCCTTTCGTGTTATCCTCTACAACAGCCGTGGGTTGTGTTGATACTCGTCTCTCAACAGCACCAGGGATTTCTGACATTTCCCAGAACATTCTTGAAGAGTTTGCAAGGAAAATCGCCATCCCTGATTGCGGGACGCGTTGAAATACTTGATAAGAAATCAAAATTATCAGGAAAACCCGGGCGAATCATTCAAATCTTACCGACATCTTTCGCATTTCCCTCCGAATCACAGGAAAAGACTTTGAAACTAGTCTCTCCATCTTTTTCTGTGAGGTTCTCCGAGACCGAGATGAAGAGTAGGATCTCAGTAGATTTCAACGCCTGTATGCTCTCATGTTGTAACTTGGAACAATCTTCACGGAATGATCCTCCCCTCGAACATAACCGGAAACAGCCAGATCTGAAAACAAAGACGTCCAACGATTCGACGATTTTCACTTCATCCTCGTTGTCTGGGTTTACACAGTTTGTGCTGTCAAGCATTTTCTGGACAAACGTCTCATTGAAATCCTCAGTGATGTTTGCTTGGAACACCTTGCACACATCAAACTCTCAATCACTATCATCAACATGTTCATTCACCTCAGCCTTGTCGTTGACCCTAAAGGAGAAAGTAAGTTTGCCCATCTGCTCTACAAGATCATCCATGATCGGAGCGCTCAAGAACATGTCCTGCAAAAACAACCATCAGCAAACATCAACAACACTTTCAAAGAAGCATCACATCGCACGATATCCCCTGTGGTGCGACTTTCTCAGCCACGACCTCTCGTCCTGACGATTTTCCTGCATTCCTGGCCTTCTTGCGCGGAGATGACACTCTCAGTCCCTTCCTCCCTCGACCCTCCTCCTCCTCCTCCTCCTCCTCCTTCCCACCTCTCAGTCGCAATATTCTCTCCTCCTTCAGCAGCAGGGCCCCCCCTGCCAGCCAACCCCCGTGGATCGCAGCTCTGAAACCCCCCGACAAGACTCGTCCTGCCATAGGAGGCATGCGCGCTTCCTCTGTCGCTGTCCAAGCTCTCATCCCCATCTCCCTCTCTCCTCTCCCTCCTCCTACCAGCACTGCTAGCGAGAGCACGAGGACGCAGACGGTACCGCGCTCTTCCATGAAGCTCCCCGTCTTCCAGCAGTCGGAACTTCGTAAGGTTTTACTAGTCAGTATTTCGTACAGGCGTGTACCGTACTGCCCGGGCCGGGCCGGCCGGGCGGGCCGCAGCCGGCCCGGGCAGTGATGAGTCGCCGGCGGCCGCTGGCAGGCCCTGAGTGCCCCCTCCCCGGCCGGCACAGCGGCCCCGATGCTCAGTCAGTACGAGGACAATCAGGAGAGTACGAGTACTATACAATCAGGAGAGTCGAGGAGGCTTGACCTTTCAAGTAACTCAAAGTTAAGCTGACACTCTGTCGCACAGGCCAAACGGCGAGAAACTAACAAGTGACTTACTAACAAGTGACTTTTGCCATCACCGCAGTGCCCGGGGCTTACCTCGGCCGGGCCCGGCCTCGCGCCGATCGGACTCACTGAGTTCCGCAACTTCGGAAACCAGCCGCCGGGCCTGGTCGGGCAGGGCAGACATGTAAAAATGTCCGATCCGTACGGAGGCCAGGCGCTTGTGGAGGAGGAGGAGAGGGAGGGAGGGAGGGAGGGAGAGGAGAGAGGAGGAGAGGGCAGGTATGTGAGAGATCAGACGATGGGTGAAGACAGAGCTCATGGATGGCATGAGAGCTTGCGGAAGAAGCGGAAGAAAGCGAGGGCTGTATCGAGAATTGGGAGTTGCTAAAATGGCCGCAGTGATGTTTGAAGGAGGAGGAGGAGGAAGGGATGAGGAGGGCATTTGGGGGAAGGGGGAGAGAAAGGAGGAGGGAGAGGCGGGGGAGAAACAGGGGGCGTATGAGGAAGGCAGAACAGCTAGAAGGTAGGAGGAAGGATGGGGAGAGGGGAGGAGGTGAGGAAAGGATGAGCCGAGTGGAGGAATGGAGAGGAGAACCGTAGACAAGGGATGAAGGAAGAAGAAGGGAGAAGAAGAGGACGGGAAAGATGATGCAGTAAAGATGGATAACTTTACATTCGGTGGATCTGACGTTGTGCGACGATAGGCCGAGTTGCTGAAAATACCCTAGCCTCCTTCTACCATGTCGGTACTCGGTATGATATGATCGCAGTGCTCGAGAGTTTTCCTCCAGGAATGCTTCTGAGACAGTCATAACGAGCTGAGCTGGACTCTACCTTGAGCAGAGCTGCTGCCCGCTCCGAGGCGCCATGGCACAAAGGGAGCGCGCATGGAAGGAACTCGTTTCACTCACTTTGATAGCCTTGCTGTACACTTTCTACGTTCAGCCTTGTTTGGGTCTGGTCCCCCCTGCCATCTTTCGCAAAAGTCTTGCCCGGCATGTCACGAAACCAGCTCACTCAGGCCCTCCGCTCCTGGTTACCCGCAGTGTGAAAGAAAAGCCGGAGTATGCGAAGCTGGAGCGGAGGGGGGACAGCGAGGCTCGGGGGAGGGCAGGTCAGCCGTCACTGGGAACGGAGAAGGATCTTGATAGGAGAGAGTTCATGCAGATGCTCGCAGCTGTCTTCTACTTCGTGGTCGGGACTTGCGCTGGATTCTTCTTCAAGCCTGCCGAGAGGAGGCAGAAGGTCAAGGAGGGTCGACGTCAGGGCGATCGACAGCAGAGGCGGACGGGCTGGAGCAGAGTCTGGAGGAGGAGATGGAGACGACGAGGATGGTGAAGAAGGAGGTCGAGGAGCTGTCAAAGACTCTCTCAGATGGGAAGAAAGACGCTCCCGATCCGACTCCTCCTCTCGTTCCTCTAGGTTCAGTCGTGGGCCTTCTTTCTTTCCAGTTCTTTTCTTCCGCCGGATGCTCATGTTAGACATGAACAAAGTAATGGGGACAGACTCTACCTTTACAGAGCTCTTGCTGTACAGGTTGGACTACTTCCTGTCCTCGAGCCCCTACGCCAAGCTCATGCTCCTGCTGAACATCACCATGCTTGCCATCCTCGGCGGAAGCTTGCTCCTGGTGCTCTTCCAAGGAGAGGACTTCGGAACAGCACTGTGGGAGTCCTGGACGTTTGTTGCAAACCCTGGGACTCAGGCTAATGTTCAGAACCCTTCGGAGCGGGTGATCGCGCTGTCGATCACGGTTGCTGGGCTGCTTGTGTTTGCTGTCATGATAGGTCTGATCACGGAGACAGTCTCGGAGAAGGTAGATGAGTTCAAGAAAGGAAAGAACAGGATCTTCGCTCGCGATCACGTGCTGATCCTAGGGTTCTCGGAGAAGTGTCTTGATGTAATAGAGCAGCTGGCGATGGCGATGGAGAGCGAGGGAGGGGGGAGATCGTCGTGCTGGCTGACAAGCCCAAGGAGGAGATGGAGGAGTGTCTCAACACTGCCATGTCAGACCCTTGGAACCTGAAGCTCAGGGGATCGCAGGTGAGGAGAGAAGAGGAGGAGGAGCTGGTTGGCGGGCACGGGGAGGTGGTGGGAAGGAGGATGGAAGGAGAGGAGGACGAGAAAGAGAACGAGAGGGAGGATATGGAGCAGCAGAAGGCAGCAGGCAGCAAGCCGCCGCCGCCACCACCACCACCACCACCACCACCACCACCACCACCAGAAGTAAACGTAGGAGGAGAAGTGATTTGTTGTGTTGCAGGTGACATTCAGGAGTGGGAATCCGCAGTATGCCAGCGAGCTAGAGAAAGTTCGGATCGAGTACGCGAAATCGATACTCGTGCTAGCTGGAGACGAGCAGGACGTCAACGAAGCTGATTCCGACGCTCTTCGTACGGTGAATGAGTTTGACAAGGGGAGGAGGAAGAAGTTTGACGGTCGATGACGCAGGTCTTGGCTTTGAGGGGGAAGACTAAGAGAAACGCTAATGTTGTTGTTGAGATTCAGGTGATGTGAATGTTGTAGAGATTGAAGAGAATAGAAAGAGCAGGAGCAGGAGCAGGAGCAGGAGCAGGGGTGACGACTATTGAGGAGGGCCAGGACGAGGTGGACGAAGAGGGAGGATGGACGAGGAGGAGGAGGAGAAATGTTGACAATCGAGCAGGACGTTGATAACAAGCAGATTGTCGCGCTCGCGTCAAATGATTCAAAGATCCTGGTCGTCAACGACATAGTCGGGCAACTTATGGTTATCAAACTTTCACTTCACTGTCCTCAATCGTTTGACGTCCTTCTATCCATAGCAAGGGACGACGACTCCTACACTGTCAACGACGGTTCTTTCTACCGTGAGCTGCAAGCTCAACAAGCCAAGTCGTCATCAGCACGGAAGTCCAAGAGAGTGAAGAAAAACCAGAGAGGATTTTGTTCTGCGGATGGAGAAGAGACCTGGCAGATATGATCTCTCATCTCGACCATATCGTCCCCAAGGGCAGCGAGCTCTGGCTCCTGAGCAGCATCCCCGTCTACCAACGACGAGGGCTACTGGAGGACGTCGGTCAGCGGGAGAACCTTCAGCTTGTCAACTTGAAGATCAAGCACGTGTACGGCAACCCGACCATCCGCAAAGACCTCACTTCCCTCTCCTGCCTTGACATGTTCGGTGATCCGACAGGTCAGGTTGTAAACCTGCTGCACTTCGACACAATCATGGTGTTAGCGGATGAGTTTGCGATGCAGACAGGCTCATCGAAGAAGAGCGCAGACGGGAGGTCCCTCGCCTCCTTCCTCCTCCTCCGTGACATCCGCCGCTTGCTGCTGGCAGGGAAGCAGGGCTTCTTTTCACGGCCCAGGGAGGACGAGGGAAAAGATCGAATCATCTGCGAAATGCTGCATGCTTCTTCCTCGCGCATGCTGCTGCGGGAGCTCGACTGCCGGGGGTACGTGATGTCCAACAGGATCGTCAGCAGCGCTATGGGGCAGCTGCTCATGAACGGGCAGATGAGCTCGGTGCTTGCTGAGCTCCTTTCCCCAGCTGGGAACGAGCTGTCGATCAAGCCGGTGACGGAGTACCTGGAGGAGGAGGAGGAGGAGGAGGAGGAGATGAGCTTCTGGGAGCTGGCTGACCGGGCACTGAGCAAGGGGCATGTGCTTGTTGGGTACAAGAGGAAGGAGGAGGAGTTCAAGTCCATAGTGGAGATGAGCGAGGAGGAGGAGGAGAATTGCACCAATGTTAACCCGCCTGAGAAGATGAGGAAGCGACGGTGGAGGAAAGAAGATGTGGTGGTGGTTCTGTCAAGGACGACGACGTTCAAAAAGTAAAGGACAGGAGATCCCCTGAGCAGAGTCTTGATCGTTGCCCCCGCCATTGTTGTTGTTGTTGTTGTTGTTGTTGTTGTTGTTGTTGTTGTTGTTGTTGTCAACTCCATCATCTCCATCATCTCCTCTATCATCGTCTTCAAGGCTACCATCACAATGATCAACATCGAAAACCTCCATCATCTCATGTTCATCCTTCATTCATGTATCATGTCAGATCGAAGCAGGAGGGCAGCACGGCATCGTCCCCGAGCATGGAGCTTGTCTCTTGGAAGGTGAGAGGAATCGCGTTCTTGGACTTTTTGCTCGCGTGCTTGTCCATCATGTCTCGATAAGTGACCTGAGGAGACGATGAGAGAGGACAGAGAGAGTAAGGGAGGAAGAAGGAGAGAGAGAGAGGACAGAGAGGGGGAGGGAGGGAGGAGGAGAGAGAAAGAGAGGGAGAGGAAGGGAGGGAGGGAGGGAGGGAGGGAGGGAGGGAGGAGTGAGCGCGAGAGGTAAGGGAGGGGAGAACAGAACAATGGGGAGGAGACGGAAGGGGGGGGGGGGGGGGGGGGGAGGGGGTTGGAGAGAGAGAGAGAGAGAGAGAGAGAGAGAGAGAGAGAGAGAGAGAGAGAGGAAGGGTAGGAAAGAAAGGGGGAGGGGGGGGGGTAATGATAAAACCATGGGGAGGAGACTAGCCCGAAAAA